CACTCTGGCACCTTTTAACTGATCAAATAGGTCATCAATACGAGGTAATGGATACCTGTTCTTCATTGTAACTTTGTTCAACTGGCGATAATCAATGCACATACGCATAGAACCATCCTTCTTCTTCACAAACAAGACTGGAGCACCCCCAAGGTGACACACTGGGCCAAATGAAGCCCCTATCAAGCAACTCTTGTGACTGCTCCTTCAACTCAGGCGGAGCCACACGATATGGAGGAATAGAGATGGACTGAGTGCCCGGTAACAAACAATACCAAAGTCGATATCGCTGTCAGGGGCATGATCGAAAGATCCGCTAGAAATACATCTGGATAATCCTTCACTACTGAACTGACTCAACTGTAGGGGTATCAATACTGAAATCTCTCACATAAGCTAGATACACGTCATACCCCTTCTCAACCATTCGCTGAGCCTTTAGAAATGAAATAACTCTGCTAGGAACATAATCTAAGGTACCTCTCCACTCTAATCACGGTAATCTTGGCATAGCCAGCGTCACGTTCTTGGCGTGGTAATCAAGAATAGCATAATGGGGCGACAACTAGTCCATGCCCAAGATAACATCAAAATTTACCATGCTGAGCAATAATAAATTGACTCTGGTCTCAAAACCACTAAGAACAACAAAATACGATCGATACACACGGTCAACAATAATAGAATCTCCCACAGGTGTAGACACATAGACATGAGACTCAAAGAATTATGGGATACACTCAAATACGGAGCAAAATAAGATGACACATAGGAATAGGTGGAGCCTGGATCAAATAAGACTGATTATCTCTATGACAGACCGAAACAATACCTGTAATGACAAGGGAGCTCCCGAGGTACCACCTTGCAGTCCCAAAAGTAAATATGCAATAGGGGAGCTCCCGAGGTACCGCCTCGTAGTCCCAAAAGTAAATATGCAATAGGGGAGCTCCCGAGGTACTGCCTCGTAGTCCAAAAAGTAAATATGCAACAAGGGAGCTCTCGAGGTACCACCTCGTAGTCCCAAAGTAAATACACAGCTCATAACCGATGGAACAACGAATTCACAGCAAGAAATCGTACAGTTAAAGACTAAATACAAGAATCAAGGAAAAAAAGGAATTCACCTAAGCATGCTACACATATTTCAAATAAGCATTTAAGACACGTAGACATGCGATATTAGGCTAAGCATGATAACTACACATGCTGGGATAACCCATTTATGATATAACAGGTTACTATTCAGTAAGAACCAGATTTTCAATAATTAGCCCGTGTACGCACTCGTCACCTCGCGTACACGACAATCATATATCACAAATTATTACAACAGTACCAAATCCTAAGGGAATTTCCCCCACACAAGGTTAGGCAAGTCACTTACCTCAAATCAAGCTCAATCAGTTAATAAGAATGCATTTCCCTCGACTTTCTAACTCCGAATGGCCCAAATCTAGCCAAAAGCAATTACATACTATAAATATAACTATAAGAAACTAATCTAATTAATGAAATCAAGAGTTTAATAAGAAATAGAAAATCGCCCAAAAGAGTTGACCCGGACCCACGTCTCGGAATCAGGTAAAAGTCACAAAATCCGAACACTCATTCAACCACGAGTTCACACATACCAAAATTACACAAATCTGATAGCCAAATCTCCATTAAAATCTCAAAATTCAGCCTAAGGATCTTCTACCTCCCTCCCAATTTTTCAACCCAAATCCTTAATTAAATGATGAAATTAACGATGGATTAGTGGATATTAATCAAAAACAAGTCAGGAATCCTTACCCAAATGTTTCCTTTGAAAATCCTCGAAATTTTGCCTCAATTCAAGCTCTCTAAGTCCCAAAATGAAAATGGGATCAAACACTCGATTTAGTCCTTTTTCTGCCCAGTGACTCCGCATCTGCGGTCCAAGAGTCGCTTCTGCGACGCTGCACCTATGGAGAAACCATCACAGGTTCGAAAGGTCCAAAACCTCCGTTTCTACGAACATGGGCTTGCATTTGCGGAACCGCTTCCGTGGGTCAAGGATTGCACCTGCGACCCCAAGCGCCTATGCGCTCGTGCCATCGCAAAAGCGAAGGCGCGTCTGCGGGAAATATTCCGCTTCTGCGACCACTGTTGGGCAAGGCCAGCTCTACATGTGCGACCAAATGCTCGCTTCTGCGAGCTCGCACCTGCGGCCAATCTTGCGCATGTGCAATTGCACCAGAACTGGTGCACTTCAACAAATCTTCCAACTCCGATTTGATTCGTCAACCATCCGAAATCCACCCGAGGCCCCCGGGACCTCAACCGAAAATACCAATAAGTCCTAAAATATCATACAAGCTTAGTCGGGCCTTTAAACCATATCAAACGGGGCAAATAACATGAATTGCGCATCGATTCAAGCCCAATGAACTTTAAAATTTCAAACTTCTACATTCGACCCCGAAACCTATCAAATCAAGTCTGATTGACCTCAAAATTTGCACACAAGTCATAAATGACATTACGGACCTTTTCCAATTTCCAAAATTTAAATCCGACCCCGATATCGAAAAGTCCACCCCTGGTCAAACTTTCCAACTTCCACCAATTAACGCCGAAATAACCTACGGACCTCCGAATCAACATTCGGACATGCTCCTAAAACCAAAATCACCATGTGGAGCTATTGGAAATGACAAAACTCCATACCGGAGTGTCTTCACACAATTCAAACTACGGTCAAATTCCTATAACTCAAGCTCCCATTTTAGGGACTAAGTGTCCCATTTCACTCCGAAACCAAAAACAAATCTTCCCGGCAAGCCACTTAGCCACAAAGCAAAATAGAGGGAGTAATAAATAGGGGTTCGGGGCTAATACACTCAAAATGACCGACCGGGTCGTGACATTAACTTCCATTCAGAAATCAAAGTGTTATAAGTAAGGTGGCCATATTGAATCATTCTAATTACCTCAGTAGAGTTAGAGGCGATCTCTAAATGGGTGAGACTATTTTGAACATCAATCTTAAGTTCCTACGTGATAACTAAGTGATATTTTCATGACATTCTTAACAATTTAATATAATAGATGAACCTGTATGCGGTAAAATTGGTTTATATTAAATGCCCAAATAATTACATGACATGTGGAACCGTAGGCAGACAGAAGATGAAGTGAGTGAGAACCAAGACCGAGTACAACAACTTTGGCTGGTAGCAGGTAGATCTCGAAGGGAACGCAGTCAACGGAGGCAAATGAATGTTTATCATCGGATGGCATGTAATGAAGAATATTCTTCAATATTAAATATGCAACCGTTTTAGAGAATTTGGCATTCATGGCCTGCCGTTGCACATTCATCAATGGCCCCCATTATTGTCATTTAAGGGAGGCTTGATCCTAGGATCTTGTTCCCTAGGTATAGCTATAAAAAAGGAATTGAACAATCATTGTAACATACAAAATCTGACAAAACTTGCGCCACTACTCTCAAGATAAATAAGAATTTAGTTTTTGTCTAATATTGTTCTTATTGCTGTCTTCAGAAGCCTTGCTCCCGGATTAGGCTGCCTGCTATTTATTTTGATTTTAATGCTAAGTATTATATTTTCATTTAATTTCTTTATAATTTTGGGATCAAATCAGTTCGCTTGTCTATAAAACACGCAACAAATTCAATTGTACCATTTTATGGATAATTAGTTTGGCACCCACCGTAGGGCTTAGACAGCTGCGTAATTGACGCTGAGGATGAGCACGTTGCAGAAACAGGAAGGATCTTGAGGGAGCAGCAAAAGGTCATCATGGACCATCTCTCAAGGCAAGACCATGCCATGACGGAACTAAAGCAGGCACTGTCAGGCGCTTCCAACAATGCGAATGGAAGAGGCCCTGTTCCTCCCGGCGCTCTTGTAAATCAAACAGCTCAAAGAGTTGATAAATACCCTGAGGGGTGAGGTTGGCTTCGATAGAGCCGGGGGGATCAGTAGCGGAGCCGTTAGCGACAACATCAATGGTCCTTTCAAAATTGAACTCATGAAATTCATGAGGGAAATGAACGAGCGGATGGATCAAACGCAAAAGAGTTCCACGCTCGAATGGACCAAATTCTGGGTGAACAACTAGTGTTTAAAGGCCCGGACTCAAATAAATACAGTCAATTGCCATTCAAACCGAGTGCAGCACCAGAATTGATACCGAAATGGTTCAAAATGCCAGACATACCGAAGCACAATGGGACTTTAGAGCCTCAAGAGCACATCATAACTTATACAACAATGGTGAAAGGAAACGACTTGGCCCAACATGAGATTGAGTCGATCCTGCTGAAGAAATTCGGAGAAACCCTCATAAAGGGAGCCTTAACATGGTATTCACTATTACCCGAACACTCAATAGATTCCTTTGATATGCTCGTAGATTCTTTCATCAAGGCCCATACCGAGGCTAGGAAGGTCCAGGCCCGGAAGGTGGATATATTAAGAATTTCGCAAGGAGAGTCCGAGTTGCTATGTGAGTTTGTGATCAGGTTTCAGAAAGAAAGGATGTTGTTACCGGCCGTGCCAGATGAATAGGCAGCTGAAGCATTTACTAAGGGGTTGAACCCGAGGAGCTCCGACGCTGCTGAAAGAAAGCCTGCTCGAGTTCTAATCAACCACATGGACGGATTTCCATAACCGTTATGAATCAAAGATAAGGATAGAAGATGATCAGCTCGGTTTCCCAACATTAACTAAAGGTCGGTATCGAGAAAAGAACAGGGATAAATCAAAAGATGATTTTAATACGGATCGACGATCTTCTACAGGACAATTTTTGCCCTATGAGAGGGCCGAAAGGTGCCAAAACGAAGGGTTCCAGTCAACGGATAGGTTCGCCTCTAATAGAAGAACCGACCGCGGCGGAATAACAGGTCATTGCAAGAGAAAGAGGTATCGGGTTCCCGGGATTCCACTTATCCCAGGCTGTTAGAGTATAATTTTAATGTCAACGTAGTGGAGCTGGTATCGATAATGAGAAATATCAAGGAAGCACGGTTCCTAAGGCCAATGAGATCCGATCCTAGCCAGAGAGATCCTAATTTATGGTGCAAATATCATGGGACTAATGACCACCAAACTCGGGAGTGCCAACGTCTGCGCGAGGAGGTGGCAATGCTGTTGAAGAACATCCATCTCAGGGAATTCTTAAGCGATCGAGCCAAGAATAATTACGGTCGTAGCCGAGACAACATAGAACCCTCGAAGATAAGGGAAGACCCTCCTCGACTAACTATCAACATGATTTTTGCGAGGAACAAGATCAACGCTGTAACTTTCTCTCCAACCAAGAAGACAAAGGTATCAGTGACTCACAATAAGAGACTCCAGAAAGTCGCCGAAGACGACATCACCTTCACGGAAGAAGACGCAAATGGACTTCTCCTACCGCACAAAGATGCCCTGGTAAATTTTCTTTATGTTCTAGATTTCAAAATTAAACGTGTCTTGGTTGGCCTAGGAAGTTCAGCCAACATTATTCAATGGAGAGTGCTAGAACAAGCCAAGCTAACTAGAAGTATCATTTCGGCAACAAAATTCCTCGCCGGATTCAACTTAGCAAGTGTGACGACTCTGGGGGAGTTCTTTCTGCCTACGAATGCCGAAAGGGTCATGATGACCACCTTATTTGAAGTAGTGGACAGAGACATGGGCTACAACATAATTCTCAGCAGACTATGGTTACATGAGATGAAGGGCGTACCATCAACATATCACCAACTACTGAAAATCCCGACTCCAAAGGGAATCAAACAAATAAGAGGAGGTCAACTGGCAGCAAGGGAAATGAATGCGGTATTGGTTTCTAGTAGTAAAGGGAAGGAACTCAACTCATAGCAATTACGGAACCGACGTCTGCTCCTGAACCAAGCAAAGATGACAAAGGGGAGGAGTTGTCGGAACACCAGGAATCAAATCCACGACAGAAGAACTCGAACAAATGGCTTTGTTTGAAAATTTCCTGGAGAGAAATTTCACTTGGGGACAAGACTCAACCCCGAGCTCAGGTAAAGATTTATTGATTTCGTTAAAACTAACATTGATTGTTTTTCATAGTTGCACGCATATATTATAGGTATCCCACTAGAGGTGGCCGTGAACAGGCTAAGCCTGGTCCCAAGCGTCCCGCCGGTAAGGCAGAAGAAGCGCCCTATAGCCGAGATCAGAAATAGGTTTGTCAAAGAAGAGGTAACTCGATTACTTGACATCGTGTCAATCCGGGAGGTAAAATATCCCGACTGGCTAGCTAATATAGTTTTAGTTCCAAAAAAGAATATTAAATTTTGAATGTGCGTAGATTATAAGGACTTGAATAAGACGTGCCTGAAAGACTCGTTCTCACTGCCAAACATTGATCAAATGATCGACGCAATGGCCGAACACGAGTTAATGAGTTCCTCGATGCCTACTCCGGGTACAATCAAATTAAGATGACCTCAAAATATCAGGAAAAAACTTCGTTCATAACAAATTTTGGCACATACTGTTATAATGTTATGCCCTTCGGGCTTTAAAATGCCGGAGCCACTTATCAGAGGCTCGTGAACAAAATTTTTTAAAAATAAATAGGTAAAAAAATGGAAGCATACATACGGTATGCTGGTCAAATATTTGAATATAGGTGACCATTTAAAATACCTCTAGGAAATCGTCAATATCCTAAGGAAGTACAACATGAATCTCAACCCCAAAATTCTTGGGTTTCTTGGTGTCACAAAGAGGGATTGAAGTCAATCCCGATAAGATCAAAGCCACCGAAGACATCCAAAGACCAGCTGATAAGCATGAAAGACCAAAGGCCAACTGAAAGATTGGCCGCTCTAAGCAGGTTCATTTCTCGGTCTTCAGAAAAATATCATCACTTCTCCTCACTTCTGAAGAAGAAGAAGAACTTCAAATGGACTCCAGAATGCCAACATGCCTTAAAAGACCTGAAACGTTACCTATCAAGCCCTCCACTACTATCAAATGTGGAGGAAGGTGAACAGTTGCTGATATACTTAGTGGTTTTGGAGGTAGCAGTAAGTGCCGTTCTAGTCCAGGAGGATGAAGGTACGCAATCTCTTATCTATTATTTTAGCAATATTTTGTCGGGAGTAGAAACTCGTTATCCGCACCTCGAAAAATTGGCCTTAGCTCTCATAGTTGCCTCTCGAAAGCTCATGCCTTATTTTTAGTACCACCCGATAGCCGTGGTAACAACCTTTCCCCTATGGAATGTCCTTCACAAACCTGAGTGGTCAGGTTGGCTGGCCAAATGGGCAGTTGAAATTAGTGAATTTGATATTGAGTATAAGCCTAGGACTGCGATTAAGTCACAGGTTTTGGCCGATTTTGTGGCTGAATTCAGTCCCGGGTTATTCTCTGGCCGCAAAGGAAGCGGTAATGGTGTCGGAAATAACGTCAGGAGTTTGGATCCTGTTCACAGATGGTGCTTCCAATGTGAAAGGTCCGGGCTTGGGGTGGTCCTAATCATGCCCTCAGGAGAAACCCTGAGACAGGCCATACAAACTGTTCCTTTAACTAACAATGAAGCCGAGTATGAGGCATTGATTGCAGGACTCGAATTGACCTGGAGACTTGGCTCCGAGATAATAGAGATCACATGTGATTCGCAGTTGGTGGTAAATCAATTTTATGTGATCTTTGACACAAAGGAGGATTGCATGCAACAATATGATTAAAGTTCAAACATTGCTCCACGGTTCAGGGAGTGGTCGATCACCCACATCCTGAGGGAAGAAAACGTAAAAGTAGATTCATTGGCCTATTTGGGATCGTCCACTGAGATGAAAGGATCAGATTCCGGTACTGTCGTACATCTCATACATTCGGTACTGGATGTGGACAATTATTGTGAAGTAAATACAACCAACCTAGTCTGGGACTAGAGGAATGAGTTCACCGATTACTTTCAGCACGGCAAGCTGCCCGAAGACTCGAAGGCATCCCAAGCACTCCGTACCAAAGCAGCTCGCTACAGTTTCTGAGGGGGCGGGGGGAGCTATATAGAAGGTCGTTCCAAGGCCCGTTGGCCCAATATTTAGGAGCCTCGGAAGCAGATTATATCATGAGAGAGGTTCATGAAGGGATTTGCTGCAATTTATTGCGGTGAAGATTCATTGGTGCTAAAATTAGTTAGAGCATGATACTATTGGCCTCGGATGGAACAAGACGCGAAGGCATTCATTCAGAAATGCAACAAGTGTCAACGCCATTCACCGTTGGTGCATTAACTGGTAGAACTACTACATTCGGTACTATCCCCATGGCCATTCATGAAATGGGGGATGGATATAGTTGGGTCGCTGCCACCGGTCCTGGGAAGGTAAGATTTTTTTTAATTTTAACTGATTACTTCACTAAATGGGTTGAAACAGGTCCTTACCAAAAAATCAGTGAGCGCGAAGTGGTCGATTTCCTATTGGAAAACATAATTTGCTGGTTCAGAATACCAAAGGAGATTGCCTTTGGCAACGGACCACAGTTCATAGGCTCCAAGGTCACAAAATTTCTTGAAGACCTGAAAATTAAAAGAATCACATCTTCACCATACTATCCAAGCGCAAATGAGCAGGCGGAATCAACCTATAAGGTGATTATTCAAAACCTCAAAATATGGTTGGAAGTAGCCAAAGGCAAGTGGCCCAAAGAGTTACCGGGAGTGTTGTGGGCATACCGGATGACGGCCAAGTCGAGCAGGGGAGAGACACCTTTCTCTCTCGTATACAATGCAGAAGCTCTGATCCTAGTGGAAATAGGAGAACCGAACTTGCGGTACTTTCGGGCGGACGAAGAAGCAAAAATTGTTGGTCAAATTGGAGCTGCTTGACGAACACAGGGACGTGGCGCACATAAGGATGTTGGCCCAGAAACAAAGGATGGAAAGATACTATAATCGGAGGGCTAATCTCTGCTACTTCAAAGTGGGAGACTTGGTTTTGAGGAAAGTGACTCAGAACACCCGGGAGCTCAACGCGAGAAATGGGCCCGACATGGGAAGGCCCTTATCGGGTTTTAGCTGTCACTAGAAAGGGTCATACGAACTAGAGAACCAAGATAGAGTCAAATTTCCAAGCAACTGGAACGTGACTCACCTCAAAAGGTATTACTGCTGATGGATCTTGGTTATACTGAAAGTATGTGCTGCACTCTTTTTCCCTTCGCCTAGTTTTTGTCCCAATTAGGTTTTTCTGGCAAGGTTTTTAACAAGACATCAATGAAAGCATACTATGAAAGGAGCATCGTCAGCAAAGTCAAGACCTTTAAATGAGAAGGAACTGAAACAACAAGCCACTAGGGGATGGTTAGATAATCTTTGGCTCGATGGCAATATTGGTAACGGGAAACGAAGCTTGCCATCGAACCGAAGATTATCCAACCGCTCACAAGTGTTTTTCCAAAAAGGAGCAAGACTTCAAATGTTCCAATTCGCATTTTTCGCATTCGAACACTGGGGGGAATAGTATGACAATACGGCAACTGATTGCCACAAAAAACGGGACTGCGAGACTCGGGAACGATAATTTCTCATCGGGACCTGGGACTGCACATCTAGCCCCATGGAAACAAGTTGTACAAATTAGCCACATGTATTGACAATTTCTTCTCTTTCAGCAAACGAATGCTTATGTACTTTTGAAATTGGAAGGAATAAAATGAAGTCCTTTTATTTTTATCGTGCTTCTTATCCAAACAATGAATTGGTTTTATCATTTAAAAGTTAACTAAAAACTTCAAATGCTAGTGCTAGAATGAACAGGAGATGTCCTCTTCAAGAGCACCGTAAACATAAGAGGGCATCTCTTATGAAACCCTCATAGTGAAGGGTTAGTTTCGGAAGAGTTTATGCCTGGAACCAAAGGCTATCAAAAGAAAACACGCCCGAAGCCTTAAGTAATTCGACACAAAAAAATGAACTTTGTGCAATGCTTAAACAAAAGGTCCTTTTTATTTATCAAACATGCCAAACAACATAAGTACAAAAACACAAAAGAAAAACAACAAATGAAAGGAAAGTAAAAAGGCTAAACTACGTTGCCACTGGAACTCGGGGGAAGAGAGGCATCTACGCCCCTGGGAGTAGTTGGCAGATCTGCGACCGACGTAGGATCTTGGCCTTCATTGTTATTCTCTTCAAGTTCCTCCTCGGTTCTTGAGAACTCGGAATCGGCACTAGAAGAGTTAGTTGCATCCGACTGAGCTGGGAGGCATTCTTGTGCAGTTAACTCCGGCATTCGGGTTAGAGTTGTAAATATTATTGTTTTGGCTTAGAGTTTTAGTGAACTGCTGGGAAAAATCCTACTGGGAAGTAGGTTGTAATTTTTCACCTTTTGAGCTGGGTGTTTTCCACGTTAAAATACTTGTGTTCTTTACTTTTTTCATTATTTATTCCGCAATAGTAGATTAAGGAACACATAGAAGAACCAGGTCATTCTATAATCTGGTGCATGCGAAATACAAATCATCATCCTCTTGTGTGGTATTGAAGTATAAAATATCAATTTTATCAGAGCAGGTATCCTTAAAGAAGCTAATATCTTAGGAAAAGATCAAGAAGAGTGCACCATCTAAAAATTGGGAAGGGCAATCCACTACTCGACCACCACTCTTCAATGGCCAGTATTACTCATGGTGGAAAACGAGGATGAGAGATCACATTCAGATAGAAGATTACGAGCTATGGGAATAATCACCGATGGCCTACTGCTAACATTGAAGAAAAATGCTGAAGGTTAGGATGTTCCAAAGATAAGAGCTAACTGCAATGCCGAGGACTTGAAGAAGTTGGAGAAAAATACGAAAGCCAACAAATAGCTTGTTTGTAGACTTGATCCTGATGAGTACAACAGAATCCAAGGCTGCTCCAATGCTAAGCAAATATGGGACATACTACAAGTGGCCTATGAATGAAAAGCTCATATAAAAAGATCAAGAGGAACCTTGCTATTGTCACAATATGAAAACTTTGCCGTGAGTGATGCAGAATCCATTTAGGAGATGTACACAAGGTTCACTACCTTTACAAATAAACTAAAGTCTCTTGGAAGAACTATCCTTGAAGAAGAAAGGGTTGAGAAGATCCTAACTAGGGTTTTACTAATCACATGGGAAAGCAATATCGCTGTCATTCAGGAATAAAACAATATTGCTACACTTCCTTTGGATGAGTTGATTAGAAATCTAAAAGCTTATGAACTTAGAAGGAAAACCATGAAGATGGATGTACCTAAGAAAGAAAGGAGTCTGTCACTCAGAATCACAGAAGGTTCTAATTTTGAAGATGATGAAATCACAATGATTTTCAAAGACTTCAAGAAGTACCTGAGGAGAGGAAAGAGTTCTTCATGAAGTGTAAGCTACATCAAGACCAAAGCTCCAGAGAAGCAGGCAAATGATGGATGCTATAAATATGGAAAGCCTGATCACATGATCAAGAACTGTCCCTTGTGGGAGATTGAATGTAAAAAAGAAAGAGCTGAATGAATGAATAAAAAGAAGAAACATGTTCATCCCAAGAAAGGCAACAACAAAGGATCAACCAAAGGAATGGTTGCTGCTTGGGAAGATAGCTAAGATGAGAGCTCGGATGTTGATGATGATGAACGAGCTCTAATGGCAATTAGAAAATCTGATGAAGAACTTGAGGTAAGTGTCTTTCAATTAAAATATAAGATCAAGGAACAGATGTCAAATGAGTGCGTCATTTTGAAAGCAAAGTGTAAAAACCTAGAATTGAGGGCTGGTGAGACTCAAAATGAAAATGATGTGTTAAATAACCAAGTTCATGCACTTCATACAACTGTTTTAGAACTTAGATGTGAGAATCTAAAATGAAGTTAGGAACAGGTAAAGAAATAGCTAGTGACACACAATTCACACTAGAAGAATATTTAGGTAAGGTAAAAGATGAGTTATATAAAAGGGATGAACAGGTAAGAGTTTTGTAAGAGGACTAGCATGAGCTAGATAAAACATACAAATGGAATAGGTCCTCTAATGCACTTTCATGGCTACAAGAACACCATAGTAGCAATAGAAAAGGGACTTGGCTTTGGGAACACTGCAGCTAAATGGGATCCCAAAAGCAAGTACCTCACACTCCATGAGAATAATATTTGAACTCACAGTGGCAACATTGGACACTATAAGAGTGAATGTGCTGCAAAAGAAAAAGCAAGTCTAAGGAACATAAATTTTGTTCTAGGAAAAAATAGGTTGCTAGGTTGGGCAAAGAAGAATCTGACTTACCCCTTTGCCTATAGAGGGACCCAAACTAGTTTGGTTTCCTAAGACTAACCCCTTATTTCTTTTTGTAGGTCCAAGTGAAGGAGAGCAGCGAAATATGGTACATGGATAGTGGTTTCTCAAAGCACATGACAGGAAGTAAGAACCAGTTCCTTTCACTTGCAGACCTTAAAGGAGGTAATGTATCCTTTGGAAATGGAAAGAAAGGTGAGGTCATTGGAGTTGGGAAAGTAGGTAAATTTGATTCTCACTCAATTGAGAATGTCTACCTGATAGATGGAGTGAAATACATCTTGATAAGTGTATCCCAACTGTGTGATAGAGGAAATATGGTAGCTTTCACTTCGACAAAATGCTTTGTGATAAATCTTACCACTGACAAGATAGTTTTGCTGGGAAAAAGAGTGAACAACATATATGTGGTGGATCTGTCCACACGTTTAGGTAATGATCTCACTTGTTTAAGTGTGTTGGATAGTGATCCCCTCTTAGGCATAAGAGACTGCAAGTCTGAGTCAACTCAACAACCTAGACTCCAAGAACTTGGTGATAGGGATGCCTAACATTAAGTTCAAGGAAGATAAAGTTTGTGAGGCTAGTGCAAGGGGGAAACAGGTAAGAACCTCTTTCAAAAGTAAGAAAATGTCGAGCACTACCAGAACTATGGAACTGGTCCATATGGATCTGTGTGGACCAATGAGGACTATGAGCAGAGGTGGTATGAGATATGTTATGGTGCTTGTTGATGATTACTCCAGGTTTACTTGGACATTGTTTTAACATCTAAAGATGAAACATTTGACATGTTCACTTCATTTGTTAGAAAAACTCAGAAACAACTAGGTCAACTTGCATTAATTAGGTCTGATCATGGTACTGAGTTTGAGAATTCTAAATTTTCCAAATTTTGTGATGAGCATGGCATAAATCATGATTTTTCTGCTCCGGCAACTCCAAAACAAAATGGAGCAGTTGAAAGAAAGAATAGGACTTTAGAGGAAAAGGCAAAGGAAAGAGTTCTTTAAGAAGTGTAAGCTACATCAAGACTAAAGCTCTAGAGAAGCAGGCAAATGATGGATGCTATAAATGTGGAAAGCCTGATCACATGATCAAGAACTGCCTCTTGTGGGAGATTGAATAAAAAAAGGAAAGGGCTTAGTGAAGGAATAAAAAGAAGGAACATGTTTATCCCAAGAAAGGCAACAAATGATCAAGCAAGGGAATGATTGCTGCATGGGAAGGTAGCTCAGATGAGAGTTCGGATGATGATGATGATGAACGAGCTCTAATGGCTATTGAAGAATCTAATGAAAAACTTGAGGTCAGTGTCTTTGAATTAAAAGATAAGATCAAATTTTTATCTAAAGAAAGATTATCTGACCTACTGCTGCATTTAATTGATGAGTCTAAGATGTGAATAATTAAAAGGAACAATTGTCAAAGGAGTGCGTCATTTCGAAAGCAAAGTGTAAAAACCTCGAACTTAGGGCTTGTGAGACTGAAAATAAAAATGATGTGTTAAAGAACCAGGTTCATGCACTTGATACAACTGTTTTAGAACTTAGACATGAGAATCTGAAATGA